TTTTTAAGTCAGTGCTTAATAGTATTAAATTTTTTTTAATATAATCAGTTAACCTAAACTCCACGAGTGTATGGATGGTTTGGTCTCAAGCCACGGTGTATAAACAACGTCAAAAGTAATCAACCGTAAAAAATAAATAATTATTATTTTTATATGCCCACAAGAACGCAGATAATTTGCTAACCTGACAAAAAAAATTATATAATTAGCTTGAACTTTGATGTTTTTGCAATGTAAATTCTTAATCCTTTGAGCTTGCCATAAAGTACATGTGGCAAGGGATAATTTGGTTATTTCAAATGAAAATTTGTCTCACACTCAATAATTGCGAGAAATGTTCCAATACTAAAAAATAATATTATTACCGTATAATGATACATATAATACACCCAGTGTTAGGAAAAAAATTAAAATATTATTATTTGAATAAAAAATTATGAATATATAACTGTTTCGAAACTATCTACGAATTTATTGCACTCATTCACGCTCAAATTAAGCGTGACTATTCACGCTCAAATTAAGCGTGACTATTCACGCTCAAATTAGGCGTGACTCCCAAGACATTCACGTCTAATTTAGGCGTGAATCATTTGGTGTTGACACGTGGCAAAAAAAGTCAACTTACGAACCATAAAACTTTGGAAAGCCATAACTTTTGACTCGGATATCCGAATGAGGTAATTCTTTTTTTGATTCCACATAACTTTTTGAGATCTACGCAATGACATCTCATATGATATATTTTATTTCACAAACACATTTCAAATTTGCAATAATTGTATTATATAGTGGATTACCAAAAAAAATTAAAAAATTATTATTAATAAGAAAAATAAAATAAATATTTAATTTGTGATTTAAACTCGAAAATCAATTTAAAAAATCTGTATTAATAAAGAAAATAATTAAATAAATATTCTAAACACTTGGTAGAATATTATATAAATTTGTATATATTTTAATAATTAATTACGAATAAGTTATCGTTTTGAACCTAATTACGAATATATTGCACTCATTCTCGCCCAATAATGGTACTATAACATTAAATTCAAAATTCAAATAACCTCCAATAAGTTGATTGCATTTTGTATTTAATAGGAGTTGATTGTGTTCTGTATTTAATAGGAGCTGATTGCGTTGTAATTTTATGAGTTGGTTACATATTGTCGCCAATTCAAATAAATTTGTTGGAGGTTATTTGAATTTTGAATTTAATATTATAGTTAATTAAATAAATATTCTAAACACTTGGTAGAATATTATATAAATTTGTATATATTTTAATAATTAATTACGAATAAGTTATCGTTTTGAACCTAATTACGAATATATTGCACTCATTCACGCTCAATAATGGTACTATAACATTAAATTCAAAATTCAAATAACTTTCAATAAGTTGATTGCATTTTGTATTTAATAGGAGTTGATTGTGTTCTGTATTTAATAGTAGCTGATTGCGTTGTAATTTTATGAGTTGGTTACATATTATCGCCAATTCAAATAAATTTGTTGGAGGTTATTTGAATTTTGAATTTAATATTATAGGAGTTGATTGTTTTTTGTATTTAATAGGAAATTTGGTGTCATCTTATTTATAGATTAGTTAATCCACTTTGGTACCATCTTTATAGTATCATTGTTGCAAATTTGAATTGTGTTTGTGAGAGATAAAATTTATCAAATGAGATGTCATTGCGTAGATCTCGAAAAATTATGTGGAATCAAAAAAAGAATTATCTCATTCGAATACCCGAGTCAAAAGTTATGGCCTTATAAAGTTTTACGGTTAAACTATTAATTTTTTGTGTCACATGTCAACGCTAGACGAGTCACGCCTAATTTAAGCGTGAATGCCTTGGGAGTCACGCCTAATTTGGGCGTAAATAATCACATCTAATTTGGATGTGAATGAGTGCAATAATTCGTAGATAATTTTGAAACAGTTATGTATTCGTAATTATTTATTGAAACAGTAATATTTTAAATTTTTTTTCCCCTCAATGTTATCTTATACTTGTTACCGTCATTCTCCAAGAGTTATTCTTTTTTTTTTAAAAAAGAAAAAAATTCCTTCTCGTTGTAAAAGGCTGTCTACTTTTTTAAAAAACAAATTCCAAAAATAAAAATCTGTAGCTAAAATTTCCTACTTTTACAATGAAGATTTTTTTTTCAAAATTTAAATTTGTCTCAATCTCACCTTTTCCGTCGCCACCTTCCTGCCATTATTGCTGTCAAAATCTAGTCTAAAAATGTGGAAACGTAGCGTAAAAAGTGTTAAAACGCAAGTAAAAATTGATCCATTGATCTTTAATAAAAACAGGTAAAAAAGCCCTGTAAAAACATAAAAACAGTAGAAACGTAAGTTGTTGCATTCTTACTTAAACTCAATTATTTTATTTTATTTTTAAAAAAACCATGTTTTTTTTAACTAAATTTTCTCTTTTTTTTTTTTTTTTGATAACATAAATTTTCTCTTTTTGTATCTTTAGACTTATGTTCTTATATAGTTATGTTAATTATATCTTTTAAATATGAAGTTATTCATTAAATTTTGACCTTAAGTAGTAAAAACTAAACGTTTCGTGTCATTTTTACGATTTACGTTTTTACTACCCTTTCTGTTTCTACATAGAAATTCAATTTTGACAACATTATCTACCTCCGTTCATGCCACTGCCTCCACCAATAATATCCCAACCCCAATTAGCCTCATCTTTGCCGCTATCACCCTTGTCATCACAACCTCCTCTATCACTATTATCACCACCACCACAATCCACTATTACTACCACCATATCGTCCTTGGTGCCGCCATCTCCAACGCTATCACTATCATTTTGCCTCAACCCAATTTCACCACCACCACCATTATTACTGCCATTTTGCCTCCACCCAACTCCACCACCCCTACCCCGCCACCTACTCCATTATCACGACATCTGTTATAACTAAATTTTCTTGGATGATTTGTTTTGACACTTCCTTTTTGATACTTTTATACGTAAAATTATATTTTTTAATTTTAACATTCAAATAAAATATTTAGTTAAAAATATTTTTGATGTACTATATTCACGTTGAGGATTCACATTAAGTCGGAGTAAGACTGAGTATTTGAAGTGTGAGTTTTCTCTGACAAGAGATGAAGACCAAGATCTCGTGCACCTACTTGGCCAAGAGGTACCCAAGAAAGATGCTACCTGGGATCCATTTTGCAAAAATGTGGAGAGATTGATGATGATGGAAATCATAGAATCAGAGCAGAGTGGATGAAATGATGTAGTGCATCTGAGTTTTTGCGTGACCGCAAAATCCCCCTTAAGTTAAAAGGAAAATTCTATAGAATAACAGTAAGACCTGCAATGCTATATGGAGTTGAATGTTGGCCAGCATATACACTAGGCAACATGAGCATAAAATGAGAGTAGCAGATATGAGAATGTTAAGGTGGATGTGTGGTTATACAAAAATGGATAAGATAAGAAATAAAGATATTCGACGAAAGGTAGGAGTAATACTGGTGGCCGAAAAGATGAGAGAACATAGACTGAGGTGGTTTGGGTACGTAATGAGAAGACCCCTGGATACTCCCGTAAGAACAAAAGTTTGTTACCAAGATCTCAACACAAAGGTAGAAGTAGACCTAAACTTACTTGGGGAAGAAGATAGTAAAGCAAGACTTAATGGATTGGGATATAGATTGGCGGACGGTGTGCCTTGAAACGAAATGGAGAAAATCTATATGCATGGTGGAGGGTTAGAGCCGTTGTTATTCCTGTTCCAGATGATCTCTTTTTAGTCCTTTTTTCTCTTCATCCCCCTCTCTTCTTTTTTCCTTCTTTTATCACTTATATATATATATATATATATATATATATATATATATATATATATATATATATATATATATATATATATATATATATAGGGGAAGGATATTGTGACAACCAAGTTGTGTTACTATCAAGTGACTACCAATCAATCTCACCGTTAGATCGATTATGTTAATCCAACGGTTATATTTATTTCCATCTTTTTATGGTCATGATTCCCCATATTTAAAGTGAAAGCATTAAATATGGGAAATCATAACCATACAAAGGTGAAAATAAATATAAAGTATTAAATTTGGAGAATCATGACCATACAAAGATGAAAATAAATATAACCGTTGGATCAATATAATCGGTAAGATTGATTGGTAGTCACTTGGTAGTAACACAACTTGGTTGTCACAATATCCTTCTCTATATATATATATATATATATATATATATATATATATATATTATTTTATTTATTTATTTATTTTTATTTTTATTTTTTTATCTTTTTTAACCCTTTCGTATCTTTTATTTAGGTTCATCTATCACCAACCCCAATTAATTTGGGATAAAGATATTATTGTTGTTGTTGATGTTATTGATATTGATGTACTATATTCAAATTAAAAATAACTTTGACTTAAAAAAAATCTTTTAAACTTAAAAAAATATTTTAAAATAAGCAAGTCAGGAAAAAATATATATATCAAAAGGTTATGCAAAGAGGCACTAAAATATCTCGCATTACCCATGCCCCGAGTTATTATTGTTAAACACGTAATACAGGAATTTACACCCGCTCAGCGCTCTATAACGTTTTTTGCTCCCCGAATTTAAACGAATGTTGGTAGTTTGATAGAGACAAGCATAAAATAATCATTCCAGTTTTGCCATCCAATTAAAAAAGAAGCTTAAATATTCTTAATATTTCTTTCTGCAAAAGAAAAGACGCAGCGAATATTTTTATATTTGGAAATCAAAATATAAGTGGCAAAGGACAATTTGATTATCTCAATTGCAATTCAAATCCTAATTTGAATTAAAGATTACTGATAAGATATGACAACATAACTAATTTTAAATATAAAATAAATTAGGATTGATAATCCATCAGGATTGTTACATCTGCTTTGTCAATTCGACTTCATTCAGCCTGTGGCTTCGACGATGACAATCACGGTGGTGCCAACGGTGGAGGATGGCTGCCTTATGGTGAGGGGCAAGGTGGTATTGACCCATGTCCCCGGAAACATTTTGGTTTCTCCAGTTGGTACATGGTCTGCTTTCTTGGGTGCAACTTTCACCATTCCAAGCTCCCGTAATGTATTTACTCTTGGCATTCTCCGGTGAGTCTCTATTCTCTTTCTTCTCCATAGATCATCACCAATCTCATTACCAATACTATTTCTTTGCTTTCTCTAGTTCATTCCAAATACATATATAAAATAGTAAACATTTTTTGGTCCCTTACAAAAAACACGATCTCCACTTTAGTTCCTTACAAAAATAAATTAGTCAATTAGTCCCTGACAAATTTAAAGTGGACCCATTTTAGTCTTTTTGAAGGACTAATAATTTTTTGAATTTGTGAAGGACCATGATTTCAACTAAATGGGTCCGTTTTGAATTTGTCAGGGACTAACTGACTAATTTATTTTTGTAAAGAACTAAAGCGTGTACCGTATTTTTTTATTAAGCACCAAAAGTATATTTACTCTATAAAACGTATATGAATATATATGTTGGTCACATTATCTTCTGAAAATTTTGTGGGTCTGTTTGTTCATAAATATTCATAAATTTTAATAATAGTTTTTCACACCTAATTTCTATTCAATTTATTTATTTTCTTTTGCTTGATCAACAAGCAACATAAAACGGCTGCATCGAATTCAATGAGAGCCGTTCACATAAACTTATTTTATTAAAAAAAAAAAAAACGCAGAGGATATAGGTTGTTGTCTCTGTTAAGAGTCAAAACATGGTGGATGATACCACGGGTAGGAAAATCTGCAAGTGATATTCCAGTGGAAACTCAATTGCTGCTCCTGGAAGCAAGAGAAGAGTCTTCCCTTCGGAATGAAATGTATTCTGAGGACCCAACGACAGAGAACACTTTCTACATTCTCTTCTTGCCTGTTTTGGATGGACAGTTTCGCTCAACTTTGCAGGGAACTTCATCAAATGAGCTCCAATTCTGCATTGAAAGTGGTTAGTTCACACTTCTTTCTCTTTTTTGTTTTACTTTATGTGTAAAAGAAAGAAAAAAAAGATTATACGTTATCACCCTCAGCCCAACTGTTTAATAGTAATAACTTTTAAATGCTCCCAGGAGATGCAGACGTCCAAACTTCCCAATCAATAGAAGCAGTAATTGTTAATTCAGGGGACAATCCATTTGAGTTAATCTGGGATTCTATCAAGTTATTTTTTTTTCAAGAATGTCCTTTGTTCTTTACCTGCTTCCATTTTAGAAGTCAGGGCATTTTACATTCTCTTTTTATTTTTAATAACATAGGATATTGGAGGAACACAAAGGAACTTTCTGTCATGTTGAAAACAAGAAGATCTCATTGCATCTTAATTGGTTTGGATGGTGCACTTGGGATGCCATTTACACTGAAGTGAGTCCACAAGGAACAAGAGAGGGCCTTCAAAGGTACATACTACCTTGTCAGATAACTTCACCTACGTTTTAGCCTGCAAATTTTGAAAGAAAAAAAAAATTCATTAACGATTTTGGCTTTTATTAAACAGTCTATTAAATAGAGGTTTTTCACCAAAGTCTATCATAATTGATGGTGAATGGCAAGAGACACTCAATGAATTTCTCAAAGAAAGTGCACCAATATTTGAAGGAACCCAGTAAGTCTCTTTTCAATTTAGACCATATTTTTTCTTCCATTTCTTAGTCATCGTACTCATATCTTTCGTAGAATTCTTGGTCTCATTGGCTTCCCTTTGAAAAACAAAACAACACATTTATCAAATTTGATACATTACAGTGATAAGATCCTCAAGAAGCTAGCACTGCCTGATGGATCAGTGTTGAGAGCAAGATATGCTGACCTTCCTACTCGAGATTGTTTATTTGAAAATCACCTAATGGATGGTAAAAGGTAAGTTAAAATGTTGCTATCTGTCTCTAAAAATGGCCAGAATAGTTTTCATTCTTCACTAAACAGTCATGTTATTATTGAATCTATGCAGTCTGCTGAAAATTTGGAACTTAAATATGCTGACTGGGGTCGTAGGTGTCTTTAATTTCCAAGGACTTAAATCATTGGAAGCCGAACCTAGGCGCATAACCATTTCAGGGAAAGTTAGTTCCCTAGATGTAGAATTTCTTCAAGAGATTGCAGGTGAAAATTGGAATGAAGAATGTGTAGTGTATGCCTTCAATGCAGGTTCAAACTTCAACTTCATCACATATATTCTGTGCAAGCCTTTTAGAACCTAACAAAACCATTTCTCTAGAATTACCAACACACTTCCCACCGTTCAATACTGCAGGCTTGCTTTCCAAGCTACCAAGAAGAGGAAAACTTGAAGTGTCCCTGGAGACTCTCCAATGTGAAATATATACAGTATCTCCAATCAGGGTCAGTATCCAAACTTTGCAATCTTCATTTTATGAAAAGTCATCTTTAACAAGCCTAACATGCAAAAATGTTAATGTATGTCTGAACAGGTGTTTGGTCATGACTTCCAAATTGCACCAATAGGATTGCTTGACATGTACAATTCAGGAGAAGCAGTAGAAGCCATGGACTGCACCATGGATGCTGCACAGTGCATAATCAAAATCAGATGCAGAGGATGTGGCCGTTTTGGAGCCTATTCTAACGTTAGACCGAAACATTGTATGGTGGACAAGAAGGAGGAGGAGTTCTTCTATAATTCTGAAGATGGATTATTGACAATCAAATTTGATGGTGAAGCTGATTCAAAGAACATAGAACTTGTATATATGGCCATGGCTGCAAATGATACCAACTCTACCGTTATGTTCGACTCACCAACTTCTAAGTATTTGGTGCTCTTCGATGGGATAAAAATTGAAACAACAGTTACCGGCAAAGCCAAAATAACAGATGAGTGGATTCAACTAATTTTATCAACACATGCTGGAAACCAATTGGTAATTGGGATGGATACTGAATGGATGCGTAGCAATAAGATGAAAACTGCAATACTGCAACTTTGTGTTGAGGACAAGTGCCTAATCTTTCAGCTGTCGCATATGGATGATGATATTCCAGAGTCTCTCAGGAGCTTTTTGATGGACTATGACTTCAAATTTGTTGGGGTTGGGGTTATGAACGATATTAAAAAGCTGAAGAATGAATATGGGTTGGAGTGCAAAAATGGTATTGATGTATCTACCTTGGCAGTAACACAATGGCCTGGCCGATTTTCTTCTAGAGGATTGAAATACTTGGCAAAGGAGCTGGTGGGTCTTGATATGAAGAAATCCAAGGATGTTTGTACCAGCGAATGGCAACTAAAGGAGTTAACCAAAGAACAAGTTGAATATGCATGCATCGATGCCTATGCTTCTTTCAAGATTGGTAAAAAGCTCCTTATTGAAAATAAAGAGATTATTCCAAATCTATCTGATTAATTTTTCTTTCTCTGCTTGCGGCCTCTATTGTTTTTATGTCGTAGCATTTGAATAGCTATCAAGTTGGACAACTAAATTGACTTTGTGGTGCCTATAATATTGAATTCTTATACGTATATGGACAAATACCGATATAACACTTTTGTGTTTCTTTTCTATTATATCCTTTTGGTGCTAATGGGCATAGTGGATTTGTGACTTTGGCTTAATTATTTGTTATTTGTCATTTGGTTAGTTGTTTTGCTAATTTTTTTAATATTTATTTCATTCACCCTTAAAAAAAGTACAATTCCATGTCTTTTTAACATATTTTTATTATAGTTTTGTTGTTGCTGTTAAAAAAAAAAAAAAAAAACTTCTGTCTACACATAAAAAATCAAGATATGTTGATGGATCCTGATTTTTTTTTCTTTAAACGAATGGATCCTACTTTTTTTGTGTCTACTACCAAAAAAATTATTTAAGTGCAGAAAAAACGGATCTTAATACATACCATAAATAGCTTCTTTCATTATGCTCTTTTTGGGGATAAAAGCAGGGTCAAATTTTGCATTTAATGTTTTTGGCATGTATCTGAAATAATAGACATGAACTTGGCTTTTAACATGGCCGTTTTTAAAGGTTTGGCATGCCTGTTAGGATTAAAAAAAATTATTTAAAGAGCTATTCTACAACAAACCCTTTAAATAGGTTAAGGCCTTACCCGGTCTAAACATTTAAATGAGCAACAAGTAATGATGCACGGACACGGAATACGGTACGATACGACACGCCGACACGTTAATTTTAAAAAATGTCATATTTGCACACGTTGGGACACATTTTGATATTAAATAAATTTTTTAATATATATAATATGATTTATATTTAATACATATAAGAACTCATAATAAGTCATATAACCAATTAAATATTTAAATTTCATAACATAAATATAAATATAAATAATTTTTCGTAGTTTGTTAATTTTTAATATCAAATTTTATAACAGAAAAAAATTAATTTATAAATTATTTCTTTTATACTTAGTTAACAAAATAAAATTAAGATTTAAAAAAATAAAAAATAAAAAATAAATAAAAAAATAAAAAAACGTGTCTGAGCGTGTCCCTAAATATTGACCGCGTGTCGGAACGTGTCGGAGAGTTAACTGCGTGTCCCCAAATGTTGACCACGTGTCGGAGCGTGTCCGTGTCGGACATGTGTCCAACACGTAAATTTCAAAAAAATTTGTGTGTCCGTGTAATGGAAAGCAGTAGTAATAATTATTATAATATCATATTATATTATATTGTATTATCTAATTAAATAAAATAGCTTAGAGTAGGCAAAATGGATCCGTCCGTCCAACCCTGTCTTCAACCTGTCAAAAATAGATGGGACGGGTTGACTCGCTATTGGTAAGTGGGTTGAAAATATCAACCCACTTTATTTAAAGACAGTGGGTTAATCCGCCTAAAAAATAAAATATTAAAAAAGTAAATACAAATTTTTTATTTCTAATCTCTACCATCTAAAATTTCTCAAGTTTTAAAAAAGAAAGACAAAAAAATAATTTAAGCCAATAATTTCATTTAACATAACAATACAAATTATATCTTAAGATTAATTAATAATTTCATTTTTTATATTTATATATATATATATATATATATATATATATATATATATATATATATATATATATATTAGATGATTATATTTATAAATTTTTTATTTACAAACTATATTATGTACTCCCGGAAGTACACTAGGTTATTCTATGTACTTCCGCGAGTACATAGTGAAAATTACAAAAATTTATAAAAAAAATTATAAACAGATCATTTCCCACATATATATCGAGAAATAATTTTTTTATTTTACATGAGAAAATTTTCTCATATTACACTCACAATTAAAAGGTCGGTCTCATCTTAATTTTTTTGCTTTCTCACTTTTTGTAGACCCTAATAATATATTGTATATGTATCATGAAAAAATATTTTTATTTAAAATAAGAAAATTAATCTCCATATATATATATTTTAAAAAGTGAGATGCGCGTTGACCCACCCTACCCCATACTCGTTTTAACATGTCTCGCATATAGGCAAGTTATTTGGGAAGGGACTATTGTGATTCCCAGAAACAGATTCACAGGAATCACAGCACAGGAGCATATCTCAAAGAGAACCAGAATGAGAGAAACCTTAAAAGCCATAGTTTAGTTATGATATCTTCTTTCTTGGAGCCAAAGAATATCCTAAATCAAGCACCTTACAGAATTTTAGGGACAAAATCTGGACACAAACTCAGAAAGAGTAGAGTGCAAAATCATAAATAAAAAATTAAGGTATGAGGAAAAACCAAAGTAACTCGCAATTTAAAAAAATGTGAACTTTGGAGGCCAAGATGTTTGTTTAGCAGATGGGGAATTATTTTTGGAGGAAAAAAAGGTGAGACGAGGCAGAAAGAATGAAAAGGATAGAAGGTGACTCTAAACTTGAGATGTGTGACTTTATTAGTAACCATGAATGAAAATGACTTTGAACTTTGAAGCAAAATGTCAAAGGCAGAGCCCAAAAACGCGGTTTGATTAGTTATAAAGTTTTAATCTTTTATCTCTAAAGATTAATAACATACTTTCAAGCGAATTAAAAACCATATTTAATGTCCATAATTAATAGTAAGATAATAGTAGTACTACCTGGTCTTTGTTCTTACAAGAGATTTTCCTCTCTGTTTCCTACTTCATTGGTTTGTGATTGTATCACAGATTTTACTCTTACCAAGCTTACCTACATCTATATACAAAAAGTCAAAGGCAGGGATTTGCTAATTTCAAATCTGGTTTTAACACTTAAGGATAGGGTTAATTAAGTTTGAAAATCTTAATTTGGGAAAATTAAGAAAAATGCTACAGATGTTGATTTCTGCAAGAAAAGTGCTATAGCACATATGTAAGTGTAGGGATGCGAATTAAACAGAGGAAACTCCTGATTTTAAAATTCCAGTGCCTTATTACTGTTGTTAATTGTTGAACGCAAGTTATAGATAATGTTGTTAAGTAAAATCTGATTGCAATTTTATTTAATTTAATTTTGCAGTATAAAAATTTGATTTCCTTTCAATTCAAGAAATTCGGATAGAAGTGATAGAAGAAATTAAAACCATTGTTCTTTGAGGAACGATTCTAATCTTTTGATTCCTATACTGCAATAGTGTTTGTTAGCACTAGGCCTTGGCACAATTTTAATTTTTTGTATATACAAAAATTTGATCCTAACAAAATGGTGTCGTCGTCGAGGAATGGTGTTTGATTTAGTTTCTTATTTTGAAATTCTACCTTTTAGTTCTTGAATTTGTTCTCTTTCTTTTTCATTTTTTTTAATTTCTGTTGAACTCAAATTTTCTTTATAAATTTTGCACTTAAGAACTTTGAAATTTGAGACAATAGCAGTGACATTAATAGAGTTATGCGAAAGTTGAAGAAAAGAAAAAGTTTGATTAATAAACACTCCAAAAGGGAAACACAATGGCATGGCATGGGAGAATGGAATTTATGATGCAAGTTTTATCCATAAGGTCAATGAGACAACTTCATTGGCAGCTCGACTTGCTGCCTTAATTGAAACAATCGAAAATCTTGCCAAGGTGGTGGTGAAAGAAAGGCAGCTAGCACCTACACCAGTTTATGCTACAACACTAGTCTGCTCCTTGTGCTATGGACCTCATACTTTGGAAGAATGCCCTAATAACCCAACATATGTCCTTCATGTGGGAGGCTCCAACCAAAATTACAACAACCACAACCAATTTGATTAACATATATGGCATAACCAAGGAGGTAATTTTGCTCAAAGTCAAAGCCAAAATTACCAACACTAGCAGCCTTTTCAAGGATGATAGCAGTCATTTGAGCCAGATGTGCCTTTCCCATATGGCTTTATGCAACCTCCTTTTGCTGAACAGCAAGAACTAGGCATTGTTGAAGTTCATCCGCCCATTGAGCAATGGATGAAAGACTATACGGTAAAGACTGATCAAATGCTACACAACCATGCAGCCTCTTCCCAAGCCATAGAGCAATGCTGAAAAACATAGAGACTCAAATAGGGCAACTAGTTTTAGCTATTAGCAATAAACCCTTGGGAGCACTTCCAAGTGATATTGAAATACCAAGAAGGGAGGGAAATGAAGCTAGTAAGACCCCCAATTGAGGAGTGACAGAGAGATGGATCAGCCAAAGCCTGTTATAAGCTCATCTACCTTGAGGAGGTTAAAGGAGAAAGAATGTAAGCAAGAGGAAGACACCCTTTCAGCTCAACCATTGACCAACTATACTATACCTCAAGAAAAAGACAAGGAGAAAGAGAATTCTGCTGAACTGAAAAAGCAAGTGCTAAAACCAAACACCAACATGCAGAATAGTGAACCTCCTCAACCAATATCAAGGGTAAGATAGCTCTTTTTTCCTCAAAGACTCCAAAAATAGCTATAGGAGCACTATCTCTACAACAATTTGCCTCTTAAGCTAGAAAATCCAGGTTCTTTTACAATTTCACGTGTAATAGGAGATAGGAATATTGACCCTGATGGAAAAATAGAGAACATATTAATGAAAGTTTATAGCTTTATTTTTCTAGCAGATTTCATAATATTTGATTTTGAAGCTGATAAGGATGTGTCTATTATATTGGATAGGTCATTCTTAGCTACCGATGATGCTATAATTGATGTTAAAATGGGATAATTGACTATGAGGGTCTATGAGGAAAAGATGACATTTAAGGTCTTGAATGCTATGAATTTTATAAATAAAGACATCGATAATTGTTCACCTATATCTGTCTTTGACCAATTAGTTGTTGACCGTGTGTTTTTAAATAGTGAAAATACCAACTTAGAAAAAGGCAACTTCGAACATATAGAGTCTAAACCAGCTAAGTTTTTGGGGTAAAGCAATTTGACTCATTAGGATTGCATAAGAAGAATCTAAATTGCGGCTCCTTATATCA